TGGGAGAGAGAGAGACAGAGAAACATGCATGTGAGAGAGACACATTGATTGGTTGCCTCCCGCATGTGCTCTGACCAGGGGAAGGGGAGCAAGCTTGTAACCCAGGCACATGCCCTTGGGAATCAAACCCGCAACCCTTCAGTGCATGGTCCAATGCTCTAACCACTTAGTAACACCAGCCAGAACTGGAAAACTTCATTTTTGAACCTTTCAACACTTGCAGATTTAAGTTTTGAAATTTGTGTTATCAAGCAAGATTTTTTTTATTACATATTTTTAGCCTGCAAGACCCTCACCATTTCTCACCTAGTTGCGGCATTGGTCTCTCCCAGGTTTCTCTGCTTCTGTCTCAGTCTCTCTAACCCTTCCTTCATAATACTGCCAGAAAGATCTTTCTACAGTACCTCTACGGTCATGTCACATCTGGTCAGAATATTACAAAGGCACCCCATTATATAGTGACTAAATTAAACTACTTTCCTGGCATTCAGTGTCTTTTAGTATCTAGCACTTATTACAATGTCAGCTTTACAAATATTATTTTCTAATAATATTAAAGGACTTGTGAGTCCTATACATGGTTAATCTCTCATCCCTTCACATCTTTGCACTTTCTATGTTACCCTTTATATGCTAATATGCTAAGTGCCTGGTTGTCCAGTCGTCTGTTCAACCAATCAAAGCATAATATGCTAATGATATGCTAAGGCCGTTCAACCACTCACTATGACGTGCACTGACCACAGGGGGCAGACTCTCCAACTGGTAGGTTAGCTTGCTGATGGGGTCTGGCTGATCGGGATTGAATGAGATGGGCCAGACAAGCCCTGGAGCCCTCCCACAGTCCCTCCCCAGCTGGCCAACCTCCACATCCCTCCCAGGCCCCAGCTGTGCACCAGTGGGGTCCCTAGCCCGCACCCTCTCACAATCTGGAATCCCTTGGGGGATGTTGGAGAGCTGAGTTTGGCCCGATCCTGCTCAACACAGAAGCTGTCCCCTGGTGGTCAGTGTGCTCCCACAGGGGGAGTGCCATTCAGCCAGAGCCAGGCTCACAGCTGGCAAGTGCAGCGGTGGTGGTGGGAGTCTCTCCCACCTCCACTGCAGCACTAAGAATGTCCGACTGACGGCTTAGGCCTGGGGGGAGCGGGCCTAAACCGTCAGTCAGACATCCCCTGAGGGGTCCCGGACTGCGAGAGGGTGCAGGCCAGGCTGAGGGACCTCCCCAACTCCCCCCCACCGCCCACCGAGTGCATGAATTTCATGCATGGGGCCTCTAGTTACCTTATAATGCTATATATCTTAGAATGCCTTTCTCAGACTTTTGTGGCTTGAGAAGTTTCTAATCATCCTCCAAGATTCAACTATCAACTTTGAAAGCCTTTCTAACTTGCCAGAAGACTCACAGGAAGGCAGGGATTGTCACAAGGCTGAACCAAGTGCCTAGAATTAGATGCAATTTAGGTTCCTAAGTCTGGGGCAGGACTGGACCTGTTGGGGTGAGTGAAATGGTTCTATAGTCAGGGGAAAAACCATCTGAAAAGAAAATAAATGGACTAGACTCACAGCTTCAGATAATAAACCATCCATCCATCCATCCATCCATCCACTTATTTATTTCACAGATGTTTGTTGAGCACCCACTCCAAGCCAGGCATGCACTAGGTACCTGGGTTAAAATATGAAGTCAAAAAGAGGCAGCCCCGCCCTACAGAGTTTTTAATATCAAATCAAGGTCATTTGTAGAACAAATTATTAAAGTTAGCCATGATTTCAAAGAGATCAAACTAGTTATGGGGTCTATTTCAATATTTTTAACAAATTAGAAACATTGATGAGAGAGAAACATCCATCAGCTGTCTCCTGCACACCCCCTACTGGGGATGTGCCCGCAACCCAGGTACATGCCCTTGACCGGAATCAAACCTGGGCCCCTTCAGTCTGCAGGCCGAGGCTCTATCCACTGAGCCAATCTGGATAGGGCACCACTGTCTCTTGATGTATAAACCAAGAACACGTCAACCGGAGTAAGATTCTTTGGTAATTGGAGACATATGTGTAAAATTAAAAATACTTTATCATATGAGTCATCATCTGTTTTTACTTTATTAGTTTTTAAAAAGCTAGATTTGACTCATGTGTTTTCCTAAACAGAGCACTGTCACGGTGAATGGACACCAGGACCAAACAGCCGGCCAGGTAAGCTGGAGAGGCATCTTCCATCACAGGCCGCAGCCACAACAACTTTCCGCAGAGAGAGAATCAACGATTTACATTCAATAGCCTGAACTATGAAAATTCAGCAGCCTGCAGTTCATCCTTCCCAAGATAACTGTCAATTACTCATTGCAACTTTAAAATAAAGATATTTGCCCATTAATTAATAATTACTTATTTCCTCCTTCTAATCAATGGGCATAAAATTTCCGTTAAGCAAGATGAGTAAGTCCCAGAGATCTGCCGTTCAACATTGCACTTACAGTCAACAATACCACTTAAATAGTTGTTAAAAGGGTATATTTCAGCCCTGGTCGGTTTGGCTAAGTGGATAGAGCATTGGCCTGCAGACTGAAAGGTCCCAGGTTCGATTCCGGTCAAGGGCATGTACCTTGGTTGCGGGCACATTCCCATTGGGGGTGTGCAGAAGGCAGCTGATTGATGTTTGTCTCTCATCAATGTTTCTAACTCTCTATCCCTCTCTCTTCCTTTCTGTAAAAAATCAATAAGATATATTTTTTTAAAAAAGGGTATATTTCATGTTAAATATGCTTACCACCATAAAATAAAATAAAAAATCAGGATATTTAAGTAGCCAGCCAAATGACTGGTTAAGCATCAATCAGAAAAATTTATGGCACAGAAGATCCAATCGAGAAGAATTAAGAAAAACAGTAAGACTTGTAGGACTGGATAGTGCCTTGGAGGTTACCAATTCAATCCTTCTCCCTTACCCACAGTCTCCTGAACACACACACACACACACACACACACACACACACACACACACACACACTGTCCAGGACCAGAATCCACATTTCTTGACAACGCAATGTCTTTCAAAGGGTGAAAGGCTGCAATAATATATTTCCCAGATCCTTCTCTTCCTCTCCATTTCTCCCAGCAGCAGGGGTCACACCCTTGATACTTCCTGCCTCCTACCAGGTGACTCTCTTCCTGGCTTATCCTAATATTTCTGGAAGATTTGTAAAGCATAATTTGATGTTTGATGTTTTCCCTTCCCACTCAAAAATCTCTGTCTGGCCATTACATAGGAAATAAAGAATAAAATCTTTACTCCAACATTTAAGGTCCTCAACCATTTTGTTCTATGTTTTCTTTTTATCTCTTTTTACTATAACTCTTAATCTGATCAAACTCAATTATTCACTCTTCTTTGCATGCAGAACCTGAGCGTGCAAAACCTGAGCTTTCTTGCCTCAATCCTTTGCTCCTGCCGGTCCTTACCTCCTGCACCTCCACCCAGTATCACATCAAATATCATTCAAGGTCCAGCAAAAATGCCAATGAAACCTTTCCCGACCCCTTCCAACTAGAGGTCATCTCTCTCTGTTATTCTCTTCCACACTTTAACTCTCTCTTAACATATCTCTCTAGCTCATATCTTCCAGGGATGGGGAAACTTCTTTCTGCCAAGGGCCATTTGGATATTTACAACATCATTCACTTAATGTAATTCAGTTAATATAAATTTATGTTGCTATGAAAAAAGCTCCTAGATTTATTGAATTTTGAGTCCTGCCTGTGGTTGCTTTGGCAGAGCCAGTATCTTGCTCCTGTGAGTTGTTAAACTGAAATATCAATGGGTATATAGGAATAATGCATCTTTTAAAAGTGTTTTTTAAAATCTACCCATGATGCTAATTATGCTTTCAATTTTAAACTAAGAAAAAAAAAACCATAATGACTATAGTAAGGCTCCTTTAAAAAAAATATTTTTAATTTTCAATTATTTTACTTACATCACAGGTACAGAACCCTTCTTTCCAATTTCTATTCTAAAATACTGGCTTTGTGAGTATTTAAGCTTGTTCCAGTCAATTATAGAATAATAATAATACTTGAGGGGAAAAAAGATCTTCAAAATTCATCTCATCTCATTCATACCCCCAACCCATGTGTAAAATCTCTCAGGAAAATAAGAACTGATTCTATTTCAGCTATCTTTTGAGATAAATTGCATAGAATTTCTAGTAATCCATTCTGATATCATTGTTATTTTTATTATTATTATTATTACATCACCGTTTCCCTTCCCTTTGGCAACCATCATCTGTTCTCTGTATCTATGAGTCTGTTTTGGTTTTATTTTGTTGAGACATTTTGATGTTGCTGACCCTCCATGTTACAATATTGCTCCATAATAAGTTAAACCGAGTTCCTCAAACTATTATTTCATTTGCCTTTTGAGAAACAGTACAGTGCAGTGTTTAAGACACATGACTCTCTCATCTATAAAATGGTAAAAATAACATACTTATTTCATAGGCTATTTTCAAGGATTTGATGGACTCATATATGTAAAGTGTTTAGAACAGTGACTGAAACCTAGTAAGTGATATATGTGTTGCTATTTTTATTTCTTCTTATTTTTCTTTGAATAAAGATGGTTAGTAGTTTGATACTTGGGCATTCAGACCTGGAGGCTTTGAATAAATGAGTCTTTTTCTGGACTGAATAACCACAGTTCCTTTATGCTATATTTTTTTACAAGACTAATTTCCCAAATTTTTAAAAATACCCCCTGTAGCCCTTCATCTTAGTGAAGTGAAAAGAGTTCATATTTTGCTATTGCAACAAGGATTTTTTAAACCAAGACTCTAAAGGTCCCATCTATTTAACACCTATCTTTAAGGGTCATTCTCCATGTTACTCATAATGGGCATTTGACATTGGGTAAGACAAGCAAGAGCCCTGCCTTCATGGGATGTACAAATTCTTAGCTGCAGAAACAAACTCGTTTTATCGTTAAGCAAGTCACATACCACTCTTTCGGATTCTCTCTTCCAATAGGTCAGCATGCCCAGCTGGAAGTTTCTTATTGAAAATCTCAGCTGAACGGAGGAACATAGCTTCAACTGCAGACCCTTTCAGCAAAGCAATCTGATCTTCATGGTCCAATGTCTGAAATCCTGCATGAAGGTGATAATGAAATCAATATCAAGGAGTCGTGAAATGCTATAAAACAGTATTCATCATCACCATCACCCCCACTGATAAAACATTTTCATGAAATTATTTTGTAGTTGTTTTAAGAGTGGGTAGTGAAGTCAATAAGTATCTATTGTTCTCTCCCAAATAGAAGCTGACTTTTATCTTCATTGAATAGGATTTGATAAAAAAGTTGGGTAAAAGAGGATCCAAATCAAACATATATATATGTTATGGCAGAGACAGGCTGGTGCAGATGAAGCCACCCTCAAAAGTTAAAGGCAAGCAGATTCTCTTTGAGCCATTATTTTAGTTACATCTGGTGTCAGAGGCCAACTCCGCAGAATGGAAGTTTCCACAAGCCAGAAAAATCTTTACGTGTATCCAGAGGTTTAAAGAAATATCTAGCCAGCTCATGAATCTTTAGTCAACCTGGAGAATGGGTAGCATTTCCAATAAAACAAACAAACAAACAAACAAACAAGGTCATGTTGCGCTATCTTCTCTAAGCTCAGCCCTCCACCATGCAGAGTGGGGAAATGACTGACTAAAGTAATGAATGGGAAACAAACAAAGCTCATGTGCATATGTGTACACACACACACACACACACACATACCACGAATAGAGATAAAATAAGGATAATGCCTTCAGGGTCTAAGTGGCCTAAGAAAGTATTAAATAGCAATGGGAGTTTGGAGAAGAGAGTAACGCTAAGGATAAAGAAGTAGTGTCACTTTCAGAGAATCTAAGCGCTCCTTTGTGGGCAGGAGACGTGCCAGGTCTCTAGCACTCTGAACAGGCCTCAGTGAACTGTGGAACGGAATCCCTCAGCTCGGTCCTTCACAAAGCACTCTTTCATTATTAGTACTGCATAACTATTATTACTATTTGTAATCATGTCATTTCTATAATTATTGGTAAAACATTTTTTTCTTTCTCGAGGGTTGTCTTTTCTTTCCTTCTGTGTTTTTATTTTTTCCCTTCTACTTTGCTCATTAAACACACATTAATTATACTCTCTCCCTAACGACCCAGTCCAGGCACAGGATTGAAGAGGTGTGTAAGATATTGCCATTGCTTTCAGATAAGCTACCTTATTATAAGTAAGATTTTTATTTGTCCTCAATATTTCTTGGTTAAAGATCAACTGACCATTTGAACTGAAAAATCTTTTTCCATAAACAACAAAAAAACATCATATTTCTCCCATTCTAATATCTCCTCCCACAGTTTCTAACTCTTGAATAATCATGTTTTTGATCAAGATTGCCTTCAGCTTAATTATCATAAAACAAATTAAGTTCTGTTGTTCATTGTTAATAAAGAAATGAGAGAATATTAGTGTTTCCACGATAACGAAAACTTCTTCCCACATTTTATGAGTTTTATGTAGGCTTATGTTTATCTCTGACACATTTAATAAAATAATAGCATAATGCTGGCAAAAGAAGGCAAATTAACATGTTTAATTAAAATCTTATGTCAGAAGTTACCTTCTGTAACTTAATATTACTGTGTTATGCAGCTATACAGGGTATTTATTATATTCTTCTAGACCGTGAGATTTTAATGTGCTAATATATTTTTTAAAACAATGAAACAACTTAAACCTATTGACTTAGATTGCATTGAAATTGTATCTAAAAGAATTGGACTCTGGGAGATAAGAAGCTTGCATTCCAGTTTCCTGTACTGTCACCATCAGAATGACTGGATAAATCCCTCTCCCTCATCCCACACATGATGGACACTTGTTCATTAAGTGCTACCAATTTTTAAATCTCTCTTTATTTTGTTTCCTATTATCTCTCCCACTGCCCTATTTATTTATTTCAAGCCCTATTGCTTGGACTAATGCAGTAGCATAGTAACTGATCCTCCTTACCTCCAGTCCCTCCCTGTTCAAATCTATCTAATACAAACTAATAAAGCTATATCTCTATAACATAAATCTCATCATTTCCCACTTTTAAAAAAAGCCACCAAGAAGTCTTTATCATCCAGGGGATGAGAATTAAAACCCTTAGTTAAGCCCTAACTGGTGTGGTACCAGCTTACCTCATGGTTAACCAAGGAGCCACAGACATTATGCTACAGCCACAGTGAATTTTCTCTTCCTTCTCTAATAATTTGATTCTTACTCATGCCTCATTATATTTTCACAAGCAGATTTCTTGATTTCAAATGACCCTTCTCCTTAATGTCACCTGAAAGCTCCTTTTTGTTTTAGAATCAACGCAAATATGACTCTCTCAGAAGCCTTTTTGTCTTTTTCAAATATAATCAGCAATTACTTCCTTTTTGTTCAAACAGCACTTTGCACACATTTTTTTAATTATACCCTTTAATCACTCTCCTAGTAGGTAATAACTAGGTACTTAGTATAGAGTAGGTATCAACAAACATTATTAAATGAATAAATGGATGAATCACAACTTAGCAAAGCCACAATTTCTTAATTTATCAATTTGGAAGAATTAACATCAATGATTTTTAAATATCCTATGTGGCGCTAACATTTTTTTTAATATATTTTATTGATATTTTTACAGAGAGGAAGGGAGAGGGATAGAGAGTTAGAAGCATCAATGAGAGAGAAACATCGATCAGCTGCCTCCTGCACACCTTCTGCTGGGGATGTGCCCGCAACCAAGGTACATGCCCTTGACCAGAATCAAACCTGGGACCTTTCAGTCTTCAGGCCGATGCCCTATCCACTGAGCCAAACTGGTTAGGGCAAACATTTTACGTCTGTAGCAGACATATTAAATCAGATTTGAGATAATTCTCCTTTTGCAACAAACAGACTTGCCTCTCTTAATATCACAAGAATATCACACAGTGTAGCAGAGAAGTAACTACATGTAGATACCTGGTAGCTTTTTTGTGAATTCTACAAGAATCTGTACATGACTGGTAGCCATTTCAGTTAAAATGAGAAAATTTTCTTCTGCACTGAATTCTTCTTTTAACTGAATTTTAAGAAAAAAGCAAATGATTAATAAGTAGATAAAAGGATAAAACAATATAAAATCATTAGGCTAAAGAACCTAGACAATAACATTTAAAAACCCAGTTCATACTTTTCAGATCCTGGAGAGCAATTATCATTACCAAGATGGATATGAGACTTCTTTCTCATTAGTTATTTAATGCTGCTAAAAGCTTAAATGTATAACAAATTCTTGGCTCTAATCATTTCAAAGTAACATGTTTATATATTAATTCCACCTCAAACATAGCAAACGCCCCTGAAAACATTAAGTTTAAGCCCATGCACTTTCAGATAGTGTACGTACAATTTTATTTGTGATTTCCTGAGGCATCCTCTGTTTGCTATATGAATCCATAATATAATGTAGAAGATTCTGTTGATCCAGGGTGAGTTCAGTTTTCTCCTACACTGGCAAAAAAATAAAAGATGTTAGGGAGGGTGGCTATGAGGCATTTTCTCTCTCTCTCTCTCTCTCTCTCTCCCTCTCTCTCTCTCTCTCTCCATACACACACACACACACACACACACACACACACACTCATCTGGATTAAACTAAATATCAGAAATTGCTGGGGAAAGCCATAAATATAGCAGGAACTGTATGCTCTGATTGTGTCATCACTTTTTCTGAGCCCTTGGGCAAGCCATATCCTATTTCATTAAATTTGTCTCAAGGTACTCATTTTCCTCTGTAAAATAGGGAAAAACGAACTATTTCTTTCATGTATTTCTTAGGAATAAATAATAATCTGGATATGAAGCCTATTGAGCCCATTCGTAGAGAAGTTCAGTGAAAGTTCAAGGTTTGGCCATAACTAAGGAAAAGTTCCCCCATATAACACAGAGACCCCATTTGAGGGTATTTATTTAGAGCAGGGGCTGACACACTGGGGCTCATGGACCGAATCCACCTGGTTTTGTAAATCCACTGGAAGATAATCATACTCATTTATTCATGTATCACCAATGCTACTCAATGTTGGGGAGTTGAGATGGAGACCTTGTGGCCAAAGCCTAAAATACTTGGCACTTTACAGAAAAAAACTGCTGACCCCTAAAGTAGAGAGTCAATTGGACAATTCAGCCCCTAGACATCTCATTCTCCCTTACAAGCATCTTTGGAAGAGGGTGAACAATTGTGTCAATTCTTTGTTTCCTTATACCAAAGATGAAGCACTATGGCAAAATAATACTTCCATATCAAATACTTTTCCTGTGATAAATATAAAATAATATATCTGAAAAACTAAATGTGGATGATTTTTTTGTCAATAGTGTAATAAATATTTGAAAAATGATTTGAAAAATCAATAAACGATTTGAAAAAAAAATGGATTTTTGGTTTTTCAGCTAATGGCAACTTAAAATTCCTTTAAGTGCCCTGTGCATTATCAGTATGTTTAGCTAATCATACAAGATGCCCGTTCCTCTATTTGTCCCAAGTTGCTCGAAGGATTTATTGAGTGATCTGTGACCTCAGGAGAAGAGCTTTTCTCTATTGGTGCAGAGATGTGCATTCACCCTGTTTTACCCATCGATAAAGACTGGCTCATGCCCTGGCTGGTTTGCTCAGTGATTAGAGCATTGGCCCATAAATGAAAAGGGTCTTGGGTTTCATTCCCGACCAAGGGCACATACCTTGGTTGCAGGTTCAATCCTCGGCCCCAGTGGGGGTAAGAGTGGGAGGCAACCAATCGATATGTCTCTCTCACCTTGATGTCTCTCTCTCTCTCTCTCTCTCTCTCTCTCTCTCTCTCTCTCTCTCTCTCTCCCTCCCTCCCGTCCTCCCTCCTCCCTCCCCCCCTCTTTCTCTCTTGTACTCTCTAAAAAAATTAATGGGAAAAATATCCTCAGGTGAGGATTTTTTTAAAAAAAAGACTGACTCACAGCCTCTATCAAGTCCACACCCTTCCCAGTCTGAACCTCCCTTCTCACTGGCCAGGAAAAAATGGTCATCAAAACTCAGTTTGAAAAAAATCCCTTTTATACACCAAATCATTTCTACTGGCAACATCTGGGTAGTAGGAATGAAATGGAGCCAGGGAAAATTTTCCGTTTTTTTTACTTTATACACTCCTACTATCTGACTTTTACACAAAAGGATGTATTATTCTCTTGATTAAAAAGAAACTCATTCACCCGTGGACACAGACAATGCGGGGGGGGGGGTGCGAGTCTTGGAGTGGGGGGAGAGGGATTGGGCTAGGAGAGGTTAAGGGGGGACCTATGAAATACTTTCAACAATAAAGATTTTTTTTAAAGAAAAAAAAAGGAAACCAAAGAAACCCACTCAATGCCCAGCTGAAGTGAAATTCTGCTCATGGCTGTGGTTCTCACATGAAAGCCTCCCAGCCAGACCACGACATGCCTAGCAGCTCAGCGGCACTGGCTTTGGCAGACACCGTGGCGTGTTCTTACCCTGCATGACTTAGTGGTCGAGGTCACTTGTCGCAGGTCACGCCCTTCGCTGTCTTCATTAACGGTCTGATCTGCATGCTGCTTCACGTTTTTTCTCAGTCGTTTGGATTTACACTGAATTTCAGTTAACAAGCCTGAAAAAAATAAACACAGAGACTTAACCAACCACGGAAAGTACTGTTGGGTGTGTGGTCACGAGACTTGGCCTTGAACAGGAAATGTGTCCTCTGTGAGTCTCAGCTTCTTTATTTGTAAAATAGGAATAATATCTACCTTGCATGGTTTTGTGTATATTAAATGTTATGTCATTTTTTAAACTTAGTTTTATATAAAGGATGTGATGCAAAGCATTGTACAAATGCAAGGTATTTGATCAATACAACGAAGAATGACACTCCCTATTCCTGTCCTGGGAACTTTGAAAGTGATTGTTTCAAGACATAATATTAATATTATAACTGCACCATAAGGCATGTATTCAATTTCACATTGAGCACATAAGTAATCATGTGGAATCAAACAAATGTCAAGATCCTTTAGGAAAAAAAATTCCAATCCTGTTCATTTTCAGAACTGTATAAATGATTGAGAACATAGTTAAAGATGAAAATAACTCAAGGGGACCTAGACATTTTCTTTTGAATAATCATATAATGTCATCATTAATTTACACTAAACAGAGCTATATTATCTTCCACATTCCTATTTAACTTCCTCATTCTCTCAATGTGAAGGAAATGAAATCCCAGGAATTTCTTTGTCCAGGGAATTCGGTTTACAGGATCACATGAAAGCTTTGCACCTGTTACTGGTCAAGTCCATGTGCATAAATAATATTATAGCCTCTTCTATTATAGGTGGCGTCATGAAAAACGTCCCCGGAGCCCCAGTTGGGACAAGTTCATGTTTAAGTGATGAGCCACATGAACCGCCTGGTATCGAAGCAAATGTTTCCATGGCAGGATTGGGTTCCGGCAGTAGCCCCTCCTGCAGTCTCCTGTTTCATACATGCTGAGAGGAGATTGTGATCGGCCACCATAAAACTTTCATCCTCCCGGCGTGGGATTATTTACACTGACCTATTTTCCGCCTCCTGCACGCATTATCTGTCTGGGTCCATCCCAGCTGCCTGTATGGTTTGGGAATAATAGCACTGGAATCGCCTTCCAGAGGCTTTTCTTTCGTGTGGCATTCCCTCCCTGACTGTGATCATCCCCTTGGTGACATCTGTTTGTCTCCTTGTGTTTGGAGGGGAACAGGACCTATCTCAGAATCTGAGTGGTCTGGAGAATTTGCAGAATGAAAAATGGTTATATCCTAGCATGCATTCCAAATGTTGATGAAGATTACGGTTTCTCACAAAGCCAGCAGTTAATACACTGTCTTTTTTCCTTATCAGATTGAAGGACCAAATGATATTAAAACTTGGGAGAGTTAATTTCCTGTGTAAATCTATACAAATTGGTTCAAAGCTGCAACCAAAAAAAAAAAGGATTCTTAATAAAACGACCTGATTTAAAACTCTATTTAGACAAGTCCGTGGCAGTTATACCTTATTATTAATTTTCCCCACAACTGTGAATTTTTATGCTAATTAAACAAAAATTAAAAAAGATATTAAATTGAATTTGAAGGAAACTTTTAGACTGTCATTCTTTGTAATTTATTAAAATAATGCCACTTTGCTCCATGTCTCAATGAACATGAACAACAAAACACAGCTGGGTTTTTTTTAGGTGAATAGAATGCTCTTTAGCTGACAGTTTGGACAATTCAGTGGTTCATGATCCTTTTCAAGAACTTAGATGGCTTAGTAAGTCCCTTCTTCAATGCGTGAAGTACCATTCTAATTAGATGAGTTACCTGGCATCTGCCTTCTTAAGAGATAGTTAGTGGAATTTAATTGCTTGATGCGAATACCTCTATACATACATTCAGCCAACATTCCCATCTCTTTGCATTTCCTTAGTCGGCACTCCTGGCACTTTCTTCGCATATACATGTCCATCACACAGTTGCCTCCGTTTTTACACTTGTACACGGCATTTTTGGTGATGCTTCTCCTGAAGAAACCTGTGGCAGAAACACAGAAAGGAGTGAAAAGACTCCTAATACCATCTACTCAGAAAAACACATTAGGACTGAGATGCCCAAGAACTTTCTCCTGGACCCTGGAGAGCAGCAGCTGCCAGGTAATCCTTGCGTGCACTATTGACAAAGTGCTTTCAACTGCACTGCATTACCCAGAAAGCTGCTGTTTTCAATTCATCGCTCAAAAATAAAGACACGTTTCACTGACAGCCTTTCCAAGGAAAAAACCTTAGTTCATTTTTTAAAATAAATTATGTTCATTATATCTTCATTGGGGATCAATTATGGACCAGGTGTACTTACTCTAGGTCAGTGATGGCGAACCTATGACACGCATGTCAGAGGTGACACGCGAACTCATTCTTTTGGTTGATTTTTCTTTGTTAAATGGCATTTAAATATATAAAATAAATATCAGAAATATAAGTCTTTGTTTTACTATGGTTGCAAATATCAAAAAATTTCTATATGTGACACGGCACCAGAGTTAAGTTAGGGTTTTACAAAATGCTGACACACCGAGCTCAAAAGGTTCGCCATCACTGCTCTAGGTGCTAGTGGTACAAAGGTAGGTAAGTCATCCCTGCCCTCTTAGTGTCTATAGACTGGCTGAGGGCAAAGCCATGCAAAGAATCAAACAAGTAAAATTGAGCCTTCCTGGGCTGTGCTGGGGCAGAGGAGGCAGGGGGAATGGCCGGTTCTGGAGGAAGAGGTCAGACTCAGAGTGAGTGTTGAGCTAAGTCTTGAGGTTGAGTCTTTATTGTTGAGAAAGAGAAACCATTACAGGGTTTTGGGTTTGGCAGGGGAGGGTATGACCTAACGTGCATGTTGGGAAGAAAGGTGGAGCAGGGAGACTAGAGCCAGGAGACTGTGACCAGCCAAGAGGTGATCAGGCCTGGACTTGATGTGGGGGGCGATGAGAACAGGGAGGAGGTGATAGAGGAACAATCAGAGGTTGGTAACTACCTCAATATGAAACCAGAGGCTGAAGGAAAAGTGAGAGATGTCAAGGCTAAAGGCGTACTAGACTTGCTTGTGAATTTGTCAGTTGGCAAAACTTGCAGTGAAAAGATGTTACCATTTTCCTAAATGTCAAATTCAACCACGGAGAGTATTAAAAAAAAGTCTGTGCTTCAGATCAAAGTTGATACTGGGAGTGCAAATATCAAAGTATGCATTTTAAAAGAGACTACAGGCAAAAAAAAATTATTTTCCTGATTCCAGATCATTAAGCTCAATGACCACCTTAGCCCACCTGAGTCAATCTTTCTGTTAATCTTCAGCTCCTGTCAAGAACAATCCCATTTAATACGGTCAGATACTGATAGCTCAATAGTTAACAGAAATAAAACTCTTACTCCAAGATGAGTCAAAGGAGCGGGCAGCTAGAAAAAATCTGCAGGTTTTTTACTCTGATATTAACTCAGAAAATCATTATCATCTCAATAGCTGAATTGATTAGCTTTCACTCTGAGGTAGCAATAGTCTATTATCACTATATCACTTAAATAAAAGTACATATTCTATATTTATACTTATGCAAATCTATCCATACCCATACCCCTGATTCTATCTTGTGCATATTCAGCAATGCCCATATCAGAGAAGTCATTTGAAAATGAATGGAAAGGAAATTCACTGAGGAACAGAGGCCCCCTGGTAACAAAAGATGAATAGACAGGGCTGGCATTGCAGGATGGGGCTGGCAGGAAGACAGCTTTAGGATGGTAAAATGGATCCCTCAAATCTGCTGAATATTGCACATTCTGCTTTTCTGCATCTTTATACACATGGAACCCACGTATCACACCCTACTCTCAACTCATACACATACGTGTGCATGTGCACACACGTAGGCACACAAACACACACGCACAAGCCAGACTTCAGTAACTGACTGTGGGCTACCCATTACTTGGAAACTATGGTTGTTTAAAGCTTTAAGGGTCTCCATGTTTTGGAAACAGCAACAAACACAAAGCCGAGCAACTAGTGAGCTTTATGGCTTACCCGTGGTCGGCAAACTGCGGCTCACGAGCCACATGCGGCTCTTTGGCCCCTTGAGTGTTGGTCTTCCACAAAATACCACGAGCGGGCGCGCACGTACAGTGCGATTGAAACTTCGTGGCCCATGCGCAGAAGTCATTATTTTGTGGAAGAGCCACACCCAAGGGGCCAAAGAGCCGCGTGTAGCTTGCAAGCCGCAGTTTGCCGAGCCACAGTTTGCTGACCACTGGAGAGTTAGCCTTTGGATCTGTCTCAGCACAACGGAGGGTAAAAAGTCCCCTCACCCCCCCCACCCCTGCCCCTTACATAGGATTAATTTTGTATCAGACACCGTTCTAAACACTTTGCAAAAGCTGATGCATATAATATTCATAACAATCCTATGATATAGAGTCTATTATTATTTCCCTCTTACAGATAAGGAGTCTGAGTAATACGGAGATGAAGTAATCCGATCAAGACCCTACAGATAGTAAATGGTAGGGCTCAGATCTGACTCCCAACAGGGTAGGTTTCAAACTGTGCTCTTAACCACTACAGTCTGCTGCCTTCCTAGTAAGGAGTTTGCATTCTTAAAAATTGTCCTTAGACATGAATCTCCCCCAGTCCCACACAGCACGTTAAGTGCTCCACAGTTTCTTCCCCTTCTCCAAAACTTCTTCAGAAACATCCTACTCTTCCTCCTGCGCCCCAGCTGTCTTTCCCACCTCTATCTCGCTGTTAGGGAGCTTGAAAAAGGTACAAACTAGAGAGAGGGTTTCCATCACACACTTTTCTTAATCTTTAGGACCTCAGCTTTTCTCCTTGAGCTTCTTTCTGAAATTTTAAAAACTTGATAATAGACTCCTGATCATCTGGCAAGAGCTATTTTAGAAATGAAAGAGAAAATCCTCAAACTTTTGACATAAAGTTGATGAAAATTGTTAATTATTTCATTCCTATTGATACCTCAGGGATCCACCAGTCCATTCCCAGCAAATCACCGGGGAAAGGGTCCAACAAAGGGGAGATGGACTCGTGTTCAGTGAAGTAGGGGTGGCATATGGAAGGTGCCTGTCAGTCTAACCTGGGAACAAAGATAATTGGCTGGAGAGGGTGGGGCCACTGCAATCCCACGAAAATATGGGAATTCATAATCCCACAGACAAATTCTCTCTTGTGGCTCTCTTGTTCCTCTGGCTTGGCTCCTGCTTCCTTGCATTTGCCCGCATTCCCTCCAGAGCCATGTGGCCCTCAAGGTCACGTGGCCCATGGCCATGCAGACCCCACATGCAATGGACTGCAACTGGGAACAAATCTAAGCTAGCCTGATGATGCTGGATTGTACTGTGCAGACATGGGGCAGAAACTCAGGGCAATGGCTTTAATCCTAGCTCTGCTGAAAGCAAAATGGGACATTTTCCTTGGCGGGGCGGAGGGAAGTGGCACCTTGGAAACACAGGGGTCTAATCCCATGCAAATAAATATCGCTCGTTCTCCTGTGCAAATCTCAGAAAATTCCTTTTCTTGTGATGTTGCAATAACCCCACGACCACTGGCAACATGTGGGAACACAGAGAGCTCTCCCTGCTAGTCATTAACTTTAAGGTTTTTTTCTTTCCTTAATGTCTTAGAGAGCCACACACACACACACACAAATGTCTACCTGACTTCTCCACCACTTAGTTTTGCCAACTGCAAGTTCTATTGATTTTTTAATTAAATGGCTTAAAAAGGACTGACTTTAAATTATGTCTGTAAGTTGCCTGATATCATGCATAACTAGATAAATCTATAAGCAACTTAGTACTCAAAGGACATTTATCAAGCTCCTATAATCCCTTCTGCCAAAATAAACCATGAAAACTTACATATACCACGAAATGAGAGAAAAGTTCATTAAAACAGCATAGTTTAGAAAAGAGTGTGAAGGAAGCTCTATCAATGTGTCAAAAATGTTGGTGAATCTCCGCAAGATCGAAAACAGTAAATTTCTGAAGAAACGTGGCCCAGGACAGGTGCATAAAAATGCAGGTGTAGGAGCAATGGGGGAGGTGCAAGTTCAGATGCAAGGAGATTCAGACAGCCCTAAGGCATTCTTAGGGAGAATTGTGCTAAGCCAGGAGTTGGCTAATTATGCAGGGCAAATTCATCAAGCCCCTCCCCCCCCCCCCCCCCCCCCCCCCCCGCCCCAGCACACACACACCTATTGTTGTATAGCCCACAACCCAGGAATGGCTATTACATTTTTTAATGGTTAAGACTATTGAAATTTTTAAGACTATTTTGTGATATTTAAAAGTTATATGACATTCACATTTCAGTATCCACAGATAAAGTATATTAGATCACAGCCAAGCCCATTCATTTTCATGATGTCTGCTTTTGCACTATAATGGTAGAGTCAAATAGTTGAGTTAGAGACCTAATATTCACAAAGCTTAGAATATGGGCCCCTTTCAGAAAAAGTCAGCCAACTCCTATGCTACACCATGGGTAGCAGTAGTATTGGCATGCAGTCTCAAGCAATGACTAGAAGCCAGAGAGGGTAGGCAATGCCCAGGAGGAATGAGAAGTCCCCCTTGCCCAAAAGACAAGGACCAGAACATCCTATCCAACAGCACATCTTGTCCTCCATCCTGATCGCTAAAAGCAGGCTGCTAAACCCAAATAGCACCTTCAGAGAGGTGAGCAGGGAATCTCAGAGCTCCTCAATGAATGAGATCACGCTTCATTCTCGAGTCATTTAGGAATTGCTCTGTGTTTGCCCGGCTGGCAGCTCTGAGTCTGTTCCTCCTTTTGCCCTCACCTATTAATAGAAAGGGCAGGCTCAAAGCCTAAGCCATTGAAAAGTATCCTGTTGATAAGTTGACCGACATTAGCTACAGGATAATGGTTTTTTAAATATTTCTTAGAAGAATTTTTTAAAAGCTGAATTTATTCATCAGCTCAACCTCAGAACTGGGAAAGAAATTCAGTCTACCTCATTTTAGCAC